ATGCCCACAGGCCACGGCGCTGAAGACAGAGACAGGCATGGTCTCCATCCATCCATGCATCCATCCATCGGTGCGCTTTTTCACGCGGATGGATGGAAAAGCGCACCAAAATCAACGTCATGGCCGGTGCCACTTGCAACAAGCCAACCAGGGGGCAGCTGCTTGATGGGCACGGCAGGGCCGACCAAGTATGTATTAGCCAATACAGGAGCAGTAGTTGGCCACTACGGAACGGCTTCGCGGTTGCTCGACACAGACAATGATCGATCGGATGGCCGGCCGATGGAGAACGATCGAAGACAAAGGACGAGGAGATGCCAGTACGTAGTGCCACTGCATGCTATACAGCTAGCTAGCTAGCTGTCTTAGCTTCGCGGCCACTGCACCACAGGGCTTGGTCTTGGTCCGTCGTCGTCGTCGTCGTCCTCCCGGCCGCCACCATCGACGAATCATCTGGCTTTCGTGCCGACACGGCCCACCCATGGACGGCGGACTTGGGGCGAGACGACTAGGGAGCGCAGCTAGCGACGCACAAGGTCATCGCCCACGTACGCACCGGCCAAGGATGGCAACGGGGCGGATTCGGATCGGGTAGAGTCTCTGTGTACTCGAACCCGGAACCCGAAACCCAAAATCGAAACCCGAAACTGCACCGAACACCGTTTCGAGTGGTAATCCGCCCCAAAACCGAACCTGCGGATACCCGAAACCCGAATAGATACCCGAAACCCGCTTTGTATGACAACATAGTAAGAGAAATAAGGACTTTCTATAAACATATGGATGATATATATACACATATTCACATGTATAAACAAGAGGTAACAAATAATAAATATTTTCATGAGTCAACTTAGAATAAATTTAATAATATAAGTAAACAAGTTATTATTAGCATATTATAAAACATGAGTTTTAATTCCAAATGATTTATTTCGGATATCCATTGGATATCCACGGGTGGAAAAACAAACCCGAAACCGAACTCGATTAGTTTTGGGGCCCCGAACCCGAAAACCATGGATGAAAAATCATCCCCGAATCTAAACCCGTAAGATCCAAAACCCGTACCCACAGATATCCGACCCAAAACCGTCTGTTGCCATCCTTAAACACCGGCTGGTTGGCTGCCTGCTGGCCGGCTACGCAGCCTGTGGGCGTACGTATTATAATAATATACTATTGTTAATAGATGGCTACAGAATGTACGTACATAATATAAAGACCAACGACCAATATATTATGAGCAGTGGAGGACAGAATCATAGGAGAACAACTATATATAAGTAGTGATCATTCATGCTCACATACGGGATGGACACAGATGGTCAATTCATGTGCATCACGAGCGAGCGTCTCTATGTGTGTACATGGATGACCGCCATCATGATTCACGAGGGAGGCGTTGTCTCGTCAGAGCTGCAGCAAGCGCTAGCAGTTGTGGCCACATGGTTGAGCAGGCATCGTGATCCATGTTATTTTAGGGGGTGTTTGGTTTCAGAGACGAAAGTTTAGTTCCCTGTCACATCGGACGTTTGGACGTTAATTAAGAGGACTAAACATGAGTTAATTATAAAACTAATTACACAGATGGAGACTAATTTATGAGATGAATTTATTAAGTCTAATTAATCCATCATTAGCACATATTTACTGTAACACCACGTTGTCAAATCATGGACTAATTAGGCTTAATAGATTCGCCTCGCAAATTAGTCTCAATCTATATAGTTAGTTTTGTAATTAACATATATTTAATACTCCAAATTAGTGTCAAACATCCGATGTGACAAGGACTAAAATTTAGTCCATGGAACCAAACACCCCCTTATTTATGGTCACCAGGGAATTTGACCGAACGGTGTGTCTTTCTTTATGGCGACACGTACACGGGATCTGACACGTGGACCCAGCCATGGGGCGCTCACGAGGAGCGTCAGCAGTCTCCGGAGTGCAAACGTTGCGTCGTCCTCTCCTGACATCCTAGGCGTCGACTTCTCCTGGCCTCTCCTGCCGCACCGTGAGGGATGGCGTGGCGACACTGCCACGTCACCGGGCAGCGTCCCGGTCGTCGCCACGTCATCCTTTTCGCCGTGCCAGGAAAATAGACGCAGTCAAAAGTGTTAGTTTTGGGAAAAAAAATTAAACAATGTTAGATTTAAAATTAATTTAAAAAATGTTAAAAAAATCACGTATGGAGAGCGTGCTAGCGTCCCGTCCAATCGGACGGTAAGCTCCGTCCGGCAGCTTTCCCAACCGCCCGCTAATTAATCGGCCAAGGAAGCAACGCACGCGGGAGCTGATTTGTGCGCGCGGGAGGCGTAGGAAGTGGGCCGGACTAAGTAAAGCGCAGACTTTTTTTATCCATTGATTTGCGTGCGGAAAGTTACATGTACCAATATTTATAGCTTTCTATAAACTAAAAAAAGTTGTAACCGCTAAACAAGTACCCAAATTAAATTCTGATTGCACCATTATATTTCTTATAATAAATGCTTCAAAATAAGACCCACATGAATATATTTAAGTAAAATTTCATTACTGAACATTTATTTTATAAAGATAGAACATTTTCTTTTATTATTGAACAAAGGTGATGTTCTAAGTTTAAAAAACAATGTTCCGCCTTCACAAGAATAATGTTCTTGATTTAGAAAAACAGTATTCTACATCTAAGAGAAAAAGTTATAGATTTAAGTGATTGGTACTGTAATAACCATAAAAATAATAAAAACAACAAAAATATAAAATATATATAATTATATAATAAATAACATTACACAAATAGAAAAAAACAATAAAAGATAGAACAACGCATAAAGGAAAACAAAAATAAAAAACACGTAAAAGAGAGAGATTTAAAATAACATCACGTTGATGCAATTTGAACAACCTGAAAATATACTATAGAATATTTCTCGGGTACTGTGTGAATACTCAAAGATAATCATACAATATCTCATTCATACTACATGAACATCCTAAAATATATCGTAGGACATCTACATGAACATCATGTGTATACCATATACAATGGAATATAGGAAAAACAAAAAAGCAAACGTGAAAATAAAAAAGAAAATAAAATAGAATATAAAAAAGTACATCGTAGAACATCATATTTATATCATGTGAACATCACATGTATACTACATGAACACCCCAAAATACATCATAGAACACCATTGTACGCTACGTGAACATCACATTATACTACACGAACATCACAAAATACATCATAGAACATCAAATATATACCACGTGAACATCACAAAAAAAACATCATTGAATATCAGATGTATAACACGTGAACATCATAAAAAAATCATAGAACATCACATATATACTACATAAACTTTAGAAAAAAATATCACAGAACATGACATTATATACCACGTGGACATAAAAAAGCATACTATATGAACATAGCATCTCATGAAATATAGAAAACAAAAATTAAACATGAAAAAATAATTAAATAAGGTAAAGTAGAAAAATTAAAAATTAAAAATTCTATAGAAAACATAAAGAGAAAAGGGTAAGAAAGAAAGAAATACAAAAACAAATAAAATATAAAAAAACAAACAAAACAATTAATTATAGTAAAAGTAAAAAATAAATAAAATGAATAATAATATAAAAAATGAAAAACAATGAAAAATCACATGGAACAAAAAATAAACAAAAAAAAAAAAAAATTGAAGAAGGGAAATAAAAATAATAAGAAAAGAAAAGAAAAAGAAATAAAAGAAACATAAAATTTGAACATGAAAAGAATAACAAAAGGTCACATAAAACAAAACAGAAATTTAAATAAAAATGAAGCACGAAAGGAAAAAAGAAAACGAGAAAAGAAAATAAAAAGAAAGAAAAGAAAAAAAGTAGAAAACATACGTACCCACCTGGACTTAGTGGGAAATCCCGCGTAGAGGCTGCGCTCGCTCATGCATGTGCCGCGCGTGGGCCTCGTTGTGCAATCCAGCTCAGCACGCGGATGATTCCCGCGGGATAAATCTAGCGCGCCTCGGCACCGTTCGGCGCGTGCATCCGGTCCGGCCGTTCGGACCGGAAGATTTCCGCACATATGGATAATTGTTAGCACATCGACTATGATGCTCGCGCGCGCGGATCCTCGTCCTCCTTGCATATTTACACTAGTATAGTAGGTTATTATCTCCGCATCACCATCAGCCGCTTGTAGTTTCTCTGCGGGAGTAATAATGTAGTGTTCACATCACATGTTCGACAAGAAATGGTGACGTTAGACGCACGGATTGCGTACACGAGCAAGTTTTTCTATATATACATAACACATAGTGTAGGAAAACCATGGAACGTGCGTGTACGAACTACTTCCTCCATATCTAGGTTCAAAGTTAGAATTGCGTTTTTTTCTCTAGATGTAGAGATTACCAGGCAGGCAGGCCACTAATATTTAATTAAACCCAGCACAACGTATACTCTCCAGCTGCGCATGTACCAATTCAACGACCTAGCTTTGAAAGGATAGGATGGATGCGATACGACGACTACCTATACTCGCATAACTCGAACAAGTCGTCGTTCTGTATGCCATTGCCTGTAATCAGTGGACACATATATTGACACCGTCATACATAGGGGGTGACTGGAAATGACCTTTCCACCAACTATAGTTATACAATTGCTTGTTGCATTGCGTTAGAGAGTCCAGTTTCTCGATTCGTATGCTTTGGACTTGTTTTTATTCTGTTGATAAACCTATGCTTTGTGCTCCGCTCCGTTCCAAATTATTATAAATTATTTTATTTGAGTCAAAGCATCTTAAGTTGATCAAAATTATAGAGAGAATTTCAAAGGTTTATGACATCAAATAGCTATACCATATAATCAATGAAGAATCTAATGATTCTTATTTGGTATCATAAATATTATTTTATTATATAAATTTGGTCAAACTTGAGATGCTTTGACTCTTCGAGAAATTTAGAATGCCTTGTAATTGGAGATGGAGGGAGTACTTATTTATTGGTCGAGGGCAAACGGGAACCACTGACCTCTGACCACACGGCGCAAGCGGTGGCGGTCCCTACCCTGACGTTGTTATGTGCACCATCCTGCCAACAAGCACATCATATCCACGGCAGATAGGATACTCCCAACCCAGAAACCACATAGTTTCTATGTTTATTAATTATGATGCCATCTGAACGAAAAAGAATGGTTTCTATGTTCAGTGAGGGCTCTTCTAGTATTAAGTAAATTACTATTTTTTCAGCCTGTTTTTAGTTTTCTGAAAACCCCATCACTGCGGGGGGTTGATGTGATGTTCTAGGGTAGTGAAAAGAAGGAAAATTATGGGCGAAAGTAATTGAGAGTCCGAGACTAATCGATCATACACTAGATTAAGGCAAAACACAAGGAAGAGTGGAAGCACCTTATATGATATATCAATATATATAAAAATATAGATATGTGGACGGATACAATTGTTATAGGCGGCGTAGATATATAGTGGGCGTGGCTACAGGTGTACAACCGTATGTGTAGCACGGCCGAGAGCAGTTCCTTGTTGTGCATGCAGAGACGAGGCGTTGCGTCGACTGATCTTGGCCATTTGGAGCATTAGCGTCCTGTTCGTTTGGGCTGGTTTTGCTTATAAGTGATGGCTGAAAGTACTATTGGCTGATTTGGTGTGAGAAAAAATACTATTCATTGACTGATAAAGTCATAGCTTATAAGTCAAATACGACCAAATGAACAGGCCGTAGATCACGTACGAAGGTGATCCTTGCATGCATGTCCAACTCTCAGTCTTTCAACAACTGCCGAGTCTCTGCATCGTGCCTCCAACTCCAACAAGGAACGACGGCGTCGGAACGTACGGTGTAGAGAACTGAAGAAAGCGAGGAAGGGGAAATATCCGGCGAGCTAGCTCGATCCACGTGTGGGTGTGGGTCGCCGCCTCGCCGGTGAACGCCGGCTGCCGCACGCCATGGCCACGCACGTCTCCGATCCTGCAACGCCAACAAATCCCAATAAAAAAACTCGGAAGGGGTCGATCACACGATCGGTCACCCTATGTCACGAATTCATCAAATACTTCTAAAGTCTGAGTACGTGGTGAAGTACTAAAGTCAGAGTCTTGCGGCCCAGCGGCTAGATACGCGTAGCGTCCACGCACGACGAACAGCCGCGCGTGTCGTCGTGGGGGACACGGCACGACGAGCCAAAGAAAAAAAAACAAGGATGGCCGGGGGTAAAGAAGAGTAGAAGACAAACATGGACGGAAGGACGTGGGGTAGGAGACGGCGGCAGCCAGGGGTCGGCGAGCTCATCACTCGCCGCCGCGGCGCGCGCGCGGCAGGAGCACCGCGAGCGCCGTCGACGCCAGAGTCCACACGACGAAGGTGACGAAGGCCTCCACCGGCGGCGGGCTTGCCTCCGTGAGCGTGGAGACGCAGGCGGAGGCTGCCGTGGTGAGCACCAGAACGAGGAGGAGGAGCCGCTGGTCCATCGCGATAAGATGGTGGAGCTAACAGGTAACAGCTAGCTTGCTAAGCAAAGGCCCCGGACGGGGCCGGTCGTTGGGTTTCCGGTGGGACTCTTTCCCTAGCTTTTATAATACACCGGCGACGGCGAGGGCCTCCAGAACATTCTCTCTCTCTCTCTCTCTCTCTCCCGGCCTCCAAAACATTCAAGTGCTGGCTGAGGCACCTTCCCCTGGAAGCTTCTACCACGCCAACAGAAACTCCCGTCACGTACGTATACGTCATTCCGCTGGGAAAAACACACGCATGTGTACGTGTTCATTCGTAAAGAAGTACCGCTGACTAATTTATGTGAGAGAAAAATACTATTCCGACTAAAAATTTACGATCGTTTACAACAAGCCATGGCCAAACGAACATGCTCCCATGTCGACATGCTTGCGTGGTCGCCTGGTCGGTAGGTGGTCATGCATGGTAGATCTACACGAACACGAAAGCTGTGTCCTTTTTCTTTTCACATACCCATCAGACATGGCTCTATATATGATTATCTTTAGTTATCTTCAAATCTATTGATGTGCTAGCTTGCTGAGGATAAGCTTCTCCACGAGTCCACACATATGAATGCTACGCTTCACTTTATTGACTAATGACTACGTTTGCCGTTTCCTGGAAAGATACGTACACGTACGGTCAATTGGTCCTATTTGCTTTCGGAAGAATCGATGACGTGTACAACATAGGGATAAAGTTGATTTTTCTTAAAGGACATTCAAGAAAAACGCCATAAATTAACTCACTACCGGATACAGGAGCGTTGCCGAGTGCCAGCCCCCAAAACACTCGGCAAATCGTTTGCCGAGTGTTACAACGACACTCGACAACTGGTTGATTGGCAAACGCTGTTTTGCCGAGTGTTTTTCGTCGGACACTCGACAAAGACTTTGCCGAGTGCCCCAAATTAAAAACACTCGGCAAACATTTTTTGAAAAAAATAAAAAAAGCATCAGCCACCGGAGGAAGAAAGGGCGCCGCCGGATCCGGCCACCCCGCTCGCACCGGCACTGGCCCGCCACCGCCGCCACCGGATCCAGCCTCCCCGCGCCGCGCCACCGCCGGAGGGAGAGAGAAGAGAGGGTGCCGCCGGAGGAAGAAAGGGCATCGCCGGATCCGGCCACCCCGCTCGCACCGGCGCTGGCCCGCCACCGCCGCCACCGGATCCAGCCTCCCGTGTTGCGCCACCACCGGAGGGAGAGAGAAGAGAGGGTGCCGCCGGAGAAGAAAAGGCGCCGCCGGATCTGTGCGTTGTTGTTGAAAGCATCTAGGCCCCAAGTTGGATTTCGGTGATTAATGACAATACGTGATTACTATGACTAACGTGTGTTTTACATAGGCAATTAAGTTAGGTCATGGTAATGGAGATCGATTGGGCAATCATGGTGGTCATGCCCATACGATGGAAATCGTTTCGATTTTCAAAGGATGGACGACAAAGTTAAGGATGGACTAATTCTAAGTATCGTTTGGAGTTAAAGAGACACTTAAAGTAGTTTATGACTTTGTTTTTCCTTTGGCCGTACTATTAAGGGGGTATGGACGTGTAGCTTGATCTAGGTGAGTCTAATCAGTTAGGTGTGGTGCACACTTGCTAAATCTAGCACTAGGTAGCTTCAAAATAGCCCTTAGATCCAATGGAGCAAACTTCATTCACATATGATCGAGAGTTGGAAGTGAATGGAGGGTCAAATACTGACCGGACGCTGGTTCTGGGTTGACCGGACGCTGGCACAGAGTCCAGTCAGTTCATTTGACCAAGGTGAAATCATCTGGTACGACCAAACGCTGAGAGGTGAAGTGACCGAACGCTGAGGGCCAGCGTCCGGTCGACTCCAATAAGGTTCTAGAGAGGGGAAATTACGACCGGACGCGTCCGGTCACACTTTAAACACTGGAGTTCGGGGTGAACTGACCGGAGCGTCCGGTCAACATGACCGGAGCGTCCGATCAACCCGCAGAGGCACATAACGGTTCGTTTTTCAGCCGGTGTTATAAATACTTCCTCCACTCGTGTGTGGGGTACTTTTTGCTCATTCCAACAGCTGAGAAACACCTTTGAGAGTGCCAAGAAAAACAAGGTCCTAGTGAGGTGATTGAGATTTGAGAATCCCAAAGAGAGCCCTTATTAGTGAGATCAAGAGTAGCAAAGTGTGCATCCACCCTTCTCATTAGGCTTGTCGTGGTCAAGTAAGAGTTCGTGCTTGTTACACTTGGTGATCGCCATCACCTAGATGGCTTGGTGGTGATTGGGAGCTTGGTGATCATCCGGAGAGCTTGTGGATGACCCAACTCAAGTTATGAGCAGTTGTGAGTGATTCACCACGACGGAGTGTCGAAGAATCAACCCGTAGAGAGCACTTGATCCTTGCGCGGATCAAGGAGGAGCTACACCCTTGCGCAGGTGCTCCAACGAGTACTAGTGGAGAGTGTCGACTCTCCGATACATCGGCAAAACATCGTCGCGTTCCTCCTTCTCTCTTTACTTTGAGCATTTACTTTGAGCAATTCAATTCTTGTCATTTATATTCCTAGAATTGACATGCTAGAGTAGGATTGGAACATAGGTTGCAAAACTTTTATGCGTTAGATCAATAGAAACACTTTCTAGGCACAAGGGGTTAATTGGGCTACCCGTAGGATTTAATTATTACAAAGAAATTTAGAATTAGCCCAATTCACCCCCCCTCTTGGGCATATTGATCCTTTCAATTGTCGTCGTCATCGCCGTCGCTAGATCCAGTCGCGCTCGACCTCGATCCACCGCCGGCGGACGCGACCGCCTGGATCTACCGCCAGAGGACGAGTCCGCACTCGATCCGTCGCTGGGGGCGCAGCCGACCTTGATCCACCGCTAGAGGAGCTCGCTGTGCCTCGAGCTCGGCGAATCTGCTCTGCCTCGGGCTCACCGGATCCTCCGTCGTTGTTGCTCCGGGAAAGACGACGCGCCGCCGCCGCCGCCACGAGCCACCGGATCTCCCGCCTCAGATCCAGAGGGAAGAGGGTCGTCGCTTCCACCGGATCCCCGCCTCGGGTTCACGTCGGAGGGAGGAGGGGAGGGGAGGTGGCGCCACCGGTAGGGGAAGGGGAGAGGGAGAGGAACCGGTGTGAGTGAGAGAGAGGGAGGCGCCGTTTGGTGTGGGAGAGGAGCGCTGGGGGCGGGAGGAGAGAGAAGGGGTGGGGACGGGAGGGCGGGTGGGGTGCTGGGCGCGGTTAGAAGTAGATATTTGTTGGTGTTTGCCGAGTGTCTCAGATGGGACAGTCGGCAAAGGTTTTTTTTTTAAAAAAATTCTCCTACTTTTTTTTGCCGAGTGTTTTAGATCTGAGCACTCATCAAAAAAAATTCATTTTTTTCTTCTCCTTCTTTTTCAGAAAAAAGATTTTAGTTTTGTTTGCCGAGTGTATTTTTTAACACTCGGCAAACAACCTCTTTGCCGAGTGTTTTTGTTTTGACACTCGGCAAAACGTCATGTTTGCCGAGTGTTTTTTTTTGCCGAGTGTTTTTAGCGCGGCACTCAGCAAAGAACTTGTTCGCCGAGTGCCCGAGGAAATACACTCGGCAAACATAAAAACACTCGGTAAATTTGAGGATTCCGGTAGTGACTGTTCCCCCAATTTCAATTACTATACTCACTTTAGTATTGTATCCTAGGTTAAACTTCTCAGACTTAATCAAGTTTAGAAAAAATATTAATCATTACAAGTTTAATTAAATGGTGCATCAAACATATTTCATGGAGAACTCAATGGAACTTATTTGATGTGCTCTGGATTTTGGTACATTCTATAAACTAAAATAAAGTTGGAGAAGTTTTTTTTTAATTTACACACAACATGCATGCACACTCATCCATATGAATACACGTACGTAAACCCTATACGCACGCACACTCATCCCTATGAACACATGTACGTAAACCATACCCCTATGAGCACCTCCGAATGACTGAGCCGGCAGATCTCGAGATTCACGAAGTCACCTTTGGCGCCTCGCTGTCAACAGAGACGTCGCCTACCACTGAGAGCATAGCGCCGTTAAATCCTGGAATAAATCCAGAAAAATACGAGCACCCGTGCCAAGTCGAGGACGTGAACCCAAGTAGGCAAGTTCCACCGTAAGGAACCTAACCAACTGATTTATGATCAATTCACAAAGTTGGAGAAGTTTAACATAGGCTAAAGACAAAATTAACTATAATTTCGAACACAGAGTGTATCTGTTAGATGTTGGAGGAGTATAGTATGCACCGTAGCAAAATCACGTTCATAAAGTCCTATTTTGGCCCTAGAGCTCGTGGATTGCACATTCCAAAAGTACTAGTATGTAGGTTAGCTTTTATAACCCAACTACTTAATAAATTATAACAATATCAAAAGCTGCCACCCCTTTGCACACCTCGAATGACTAGTATGCACACGTCCAACTATGGTTTATGGCAATAGTTATAGGGGGCGAAAACGAAATTTTCCTAGCGAACGTGACAGGACGTGGTGCGGATGGGCCGGCCAGGTCGTCCGTGCGTGGTGGCGCCTGGCGGCCCATGTGTGCGAGCGCGTAATCCATCGCGGCCCGCGGCGGGCAGGGCAGCAGGGGTGGTCTGGCGTCGCCTCATCGCAAACTCGGGTGGGCCTCATTGCCGCTTCATACCATCCTAGCTCCGAACTGGCGCAAAGCTAGAATTGGAACTTGGAACAAATACCAAACTCTGAGATTTCTCAAAAAAAAAAAAAAAAACTCGAGTCGCTTGCTAAAAGAGATGCTGCGAGCAATTTCTACATGCGCAGTTGAAGGACCGAAAACAACGAGCAGAGAGGAGTGAATGGGAGCCGTAAAATTTCTTGCGAAATACTCGGCCACTATCCCAAATTCACAGCCAAACACACGAAGCAATCAACGTGATGTCCACGAATGAGTAGGTAGAAGTTTCCTAAAAAAATAGCGGGACACCACAAAGCCCAACATAAAAGACGG